CGAGATGTACAGAATTACCCATCGCCTCGGCTACCATACTGCGGACAATGCCACTTCGAACGACACCTGTTTACGGGCAGTATCTGCAACGCTAAGGGACGAACATAATGTCACATTTGACGCCGTACATCGCCGAGTCCGCTGCATAGGACATATCATCAACCTGTCCCTTCAAGCCTTCCTTCTCGCACGTTCAAAAGAAGCTCTTGCGGCAGCCATCGCAGCCGCCGAGTCTGTCGCCGATAACAAGGATATTGAGAGACTGTCAACACAATTAACAGCGCCGTCGACGTCCTCTCAAAGAGGTGACACTAGATCACAGCGAACTACCACGAACACAGCCAGCGGCGATAAATGCAGCGGGTGGGAAGGTATTGCACCGCTCAGAAAGCTTCACACCATTGCTGTATGGCTGGATCTCTCCTCACTCCATTCTGATATGTGGAGAGATGCCGTGGGTCTTGAACTTGGCACGGATAATACCACACGCTGGTCGTCGTGGTACAAAGTCATAAACAACGCCATCAAGAAGAAGGCACAGATCAACCGCTTCTTTACTCAATATGACCACGATCTTGGCGAAAATATGCTAGATACCTCGGATTGGGTGTTATTGGAGAGAACCCAGATATTTCTTCAAGTCTTTGACGAAGCCACTCGGGATGCCGAAAGGGACCATGCATCTGTTGCAGATGTGCTTCAGCTAATGGATGCGATCCTGCAGCACTACGAAGACACAAAGTTGAAACACTCACCAGATGGCCCCGAGCCTGACCCTTGTATGCTACATGCCATTGACATGGGCTGGTTTGTTCTTGATAAATACTATGCCTTAACGGACGAAGCACCTGTATATACTGCCGCTCTTCTCCTCGATCCCTCGAGACGATTGGCCTACCTCGAAGAGAACTGGCCAACTGAGTGGCATGCCGCTGCAATCGACAGAGCACAGCAGGTATGGGAGAGTGAGTACAAGGACTTCGTCCTTCCGGAGGAGGTCTCTATTTCTGCCGCTCCTGCTGTTGTACAGTCCGCGGCGACACCACTTGAGCGGTTAAAGCAACGCACACAGCCGAAAACCACCGTATCCATGGATAGAGATACATTCGATGCTTTTATTAGAGAGGATCCAGTTGACCTTCATGGCAGTACAGCACTAGAATGGTGGTGTCAACCGGAGCGAAGACGGCGATATCCACGACTTCACCGCATGGCTGTGGATATACTTTCGATCCCACCGGAATCCGCAGAGCCAGAGCGTACATTCTCAGGTGCTCGACGAACCACACGTTGGGATAGATCGAGACTGACTTGTGATAACATTGAGCTCATTGAATGCATCGGCAACTGGCTGCGCAACCGCCATATCAGGAATGGGGGTTTGGTTTTGCATGAGGACGCGGTTGATAATATGGATATCGATGTAGCAGTAGTGTAGAGGTTAATCGATTTAATCGCGATCTGTACGGCGATTTGTGTCTTGTAGCTGGACACTAGAAAATGCCAAGGATATCAGGATATCAGAAATGATATACTAGTATACTAGTATAAGGATACTAGTATACCAGGATAAGCATTTTGGAACTGATATACTAGTATTACCATGTCTGTCCATACCTCCATGGAGACTCCATACATTTTAAAGTTATTACTAATCAGGGTAGTGAAACGCCTAGGTGTTTTAAACAACACTTATTCTTATAATAGGTATAAAATTTGCTAATCGAGAGTCTATGATGGAGCAAACTGATAGATTGAAGTAGTACTATCTATTCTCTATTCCCACTACTACTGTCCGCTAGCGACTCTTCAAAGAGAGGCCCATAGTCGTCGTCAACGAACCCAAAGAGGGAAGGGAGATAGTCGTCGTTCTCCTCTGCCGTCTCACTAATAACCTGAGACCCTCTTACATCCTGTTTATGGCTGCCTATCGTAATTAAACTGTTTCTTCCCCAGTTCGCCAGGCATGTGACTGCCTCCAGGGCATCTTCAGTGAGTCTGTTTCTACGCGGAGAAAAAGTAACACCAGCTAAACTGAATATCCTCTCTGGCTCCGCGCTCATAGCTGGGATCGAGAGGAGGTCAATCGCCATGCGAGAGAGCTTAGGGTACTGCACCTTAACAGATGGTCGCATCCAGTACTTGAACGGGACGATCGATAAGTCGGTCTCCCGCCGATCAGTAAGATAGGCATCTAGTTCATTTTGAACGAGGGATGGGATAGGCCACTTTCGGGTATCCTCGAGCTGCTCATCAATCCTTCGGTACTTTGGCTTCTTACGCCATTGTAGCAATGGATATATCAAAACAGGTTACTAATGGAGATAGTGATGATGATGTTGATAGGAACTAGCATACGATTGATGGAGTGACGTTAGAAGCTCTGCTGAAACACCCTGCGCACGGACATTCTCTCTCCACCCTGTTGCGACGAGCGTTGTTTCACTACTACTAAACAGGTTAATCAGTTTGGTTCAGAATTATATGGAGTCTCCATGGCGGTATGGAGATGGAGGTGAATCGTGGAGGTGGCCAGATCTCCCTCCATGCCGATCACTGTGTCTCATAGCTCATTCGGTGGATCGAATGCAGCCGCGCCTATCACTCGGACTTGACTGCATTGAGACTGCGGCATTCAGGTTTTCCAACAAGCAAGTCAAGTCAAGCCAGCTGGCTGGCTCGAGTGGAGCTTGATAAGATGGTGAGCAGCTTGACTTGATCACATAATCAAGCTAAGATAGGTGGCTTGCTTGAGGCTTGACTTGATAGCTTGATAGCCTATACTACAAAAATTCTTGATGTTGAGTCTCGTGATAGTCGCCACCCCAGCTGCTAAGGTCGTACAAAAGCTCCATCTCGTTGTCCGTCATCGTCGACTTGGCCGCGACCTCGACGTCGCCTAAGCCGGCTCTTTGCCACCGTCTTACGCACTGTGTAGCCGCCAGAAGTTGCGGTTTTATAGCGCGGCGACGCGGCTCGAGGAGGTCGCCAAGTTCACTAAACAGGCGCTCACACTCACAGCTTGAGGCTAGGATAGAGAGTACGTCGAGCGCGAGCTTGCTGAGGTTAGGGTAACGCTCGCGCAGCTCTACCCAGTACTTAATAGGGTTGTTTGCGTAATTGCTACCCTTCTCCGCGCGCGGCTCGCTGCGCTTCCACCGCTCGAACTCGTCGTCGTCTGTGTTGTTGTTGATGGAGGCGCTGGGGTTAATAAGACCGTCAATCGCGTCGTCCATGTCGCTAGTGAGGACCTTAGGGCGCCTCACCTTGCGCGGCGAGGCGCTATATAGCTGCCAAAGGGCGCGAAAGTTGCGGTTGTTAGCGACGAGCCACTCAGGTTTATCGCTCCAGACGGTGTCGCAGTACGTTTTGTAGTATAGATGAAGTATTGTAGCAGCATAGTACGCCGGCGAGTCGTCTAACTTGGCGTAGTACTCGCTGATTTTAGCCCACGCGGCACGTAAGTTGATGGCAAGATGGTCCTCAGGCGCCTCATTGTGCGCGTTGTAGTCCACCGCCTCGTACGCTTTAACGCGCTGCTCGTAGTACGAGAGTATATACTCAAAGACTGGAATAATCTCAGCAATAGCACCAAAGCGTCCGCTTTTACCGCGTCCCTTAAGACGCTTTGTAGCAGACTTGAGCGGCTTTAGGACGTCCAAGTACTTAGTAACCACAGCCCAGTCGGCTGTCAAAAACTTGGGGGGTGTAAGAGTTATCGTATTGTAAAGGTGAGACCTAAGACTAAGTACTGACGCTAAGTAGTCATGCAACATCAGTCACATGACCACTGTCTTCATCGCCCATCTTGACACTGGCCATGGAGACTGTGAGCGACGATGAGATCGAGCGTATGTACGAAATAGCTAGCTGGGATTTTGAGAACTGACAGTATATATCCGCCTATGCGTATTCAAAACGATCAAAACTTCCAAATCAAAACGAGCATACGACACCATTCAAACAAATCAAAACAATATTGCGAGAGTTGCCATTCAAACAAGATCAAAATAAGGTCGAAATTTGATTTGATTTGATCGTTCCCAAGTCTGACGCCAACGCCCTCTAGCAGCTTATCCAAGTACAACAGCAATTGCAGGTGGGATAGATGATGTAATTGGTGCGTTTATACGCCGGAAGAACACCAAGGAGGCAGACGAGGACGAGTATGAGCGCTGGAAGACGCAGGAGCCTGAGTGGAGCAGAGAGCAGTATCTAGGCCATGGTCTCCCAGTCGTAAATTGGATACAAATGCGCTCAAAATACCCGTATTTAAGCCAGTTTGCAATCGATATACTAACTATCCCAGCATCGAGCTGCGATTGCGAGCGGCTGTTTGGTGAGCTCGGCGACCTACTTGAGCCTAAACGACGCGCTATTGGCAGCGAGCTACTCGCTGCTATTCAGTTCGTGAGAGCGTGGGTAAGAGCTGGCTTCAAAACTCAGCCTAATAGTAGTGCTGAGGGCGACGATGACGATCTATCAGATGAGGATCTGGTACGTGACTACAATATACAACAGTGGATTACCTAGCTGTAGTAATTGTATACAACTTTAATCTCTTGGCGTCAATCTGATCAATCTACCAATCAACTTGCAATCAAGCTACAATCAATCTGTGGCGACGCTGCTAACAATCAATTCAACTAACAATCCTAAGATTGATTAGATTGATTGTTGCGGAGTCTGATAACGTTACTGCAAACATACTATATGTGAATTGAGACCTAGGTCATGGTGACCTGCACACAGTTAGTGGATTTATTTTGTAAAGGGATGGGCAGAGAGGGACGTACCAGCTCCTCAGCCGAGACGGGGTGTATAGCCTACAAGAAGGGCAAATTAGCGTATTTCCGGTACGCTTGTCAAGTTCTGTTCCCAACGCCAATGGCCCTGTATCTAGCTTGCACAGCGCGTTGCACAGGTGGGTGAAGCGAAAAGTACGGATAGAGGAGTGGGTAAGTAGGAATAGAGTGACACATACTACACATCTATCAAAGTCATGCTTCGTAGCGCCCATACTGATCGCTACGCTGAAACCTTGCAGGATCTCGCTGCTGCCCCTGACCTAAGATATGCAGACCAACAACTCTCTCCTCCTCGCCAACGCAAATAATCTTGTACGCCGTAAGCTGCTTCTCGTCTTGCTCCATCATGACGAAGTACATCGCCGTGAACTCGCTCCTGTAGGTTCTGACCTTATCACCGTACTTTTCACACGCCTCGGGTTCAGTGAGCCCAATGGAACCAATTTCGGGGTGCGCAAAGACGACGCTGGGAATGTTCTCATAGGTGAGATGCGCGCCAATTCTGCCGCCAAAGAGGCGGTCGCTCAGGCGCCGACCCGCAGCGATGGCGACAGGGGTCAGTTGGAAGCCGCAGTCGCAAACGTCACCGATAGCGTAAATGTTGTCCAGATTGGTGTTTTGGTACTCGTCAGTTACAATGTGGTTCTCGTCGTTGAGTTTGATGTCGAAGTCCTTGATGTGGAAGTCTTCGATCTCGGGGTCGCGGCCGGTTGCGAATAGGACGGCTTCGACTTTGACGGTTGATTCCTTCTTCGATTCAGATTCTCGGAAAGTGACGCGCTTCATCCCATTACCGATGTCCTCGACCTTGATAATCGATGTGCCCTTGTAGAGACTGATGCCCTGACGCTCGTATTCATTTGTAATGGCATCCTGAATCATGGGGTCGAAGGTTCGTAGAAGCTTGTCACCACGTATGGAGAAGTATGTTTTTGATCCCAGTGAGTGTAACATACCGGTCATCTCGACACCAATGTATCCTGCACCACTCGTCGCGATGCTCTTTGGTTGTGAATTAAGATCGAAAAAGCCATCACTGTCGATGCAGAGCTCACTTCCAGGAATTTCGGGTTTCTTTGGTCGGCCGCCTGTCGCAATGAGGATGTGCTTCGCTTTGACGCGCTGGGTGCCTCCGTTCTCAAGGGCAATCTCAACCTCGTTTTTGCCAACGAACTTCGCTCGTCCCCTGAAGTGTTGGATCCCGTCTTTGTCCAGATTTTTCTCATACACACTGTTCAGTGCCTGACGTAAGCGTCACGTTTGCTCTTAAAGTACGGCCAGTCGAACAAACGCTGCTCTTGAACTTGGAATCCATATGCCTTTGCGTCTTTCAAGGTTTCCGCAATTGCAGCAGCGTTCCACGTAACCTTCTTGGGCACGCAGCCCACATTCACGCAGGTACCGCCATAGCGACTCGACTCGACCGCAATAACCTTGGCACCGTGTTTTGCGGCTCGTCGTGCTGAGGCGATACCGCCACTACCAATACCGAGGACGAGGTAGTCGGCTTCTTTGATGTTCAAGACAAGTGCCATGGTGAGAGTAGATGTGAAGTAAAGTATAAGGGACTCGAAAATGCGCAGCCGTTGTGCTGCTTTAGAAGTAGCTTGGAAGTAAGGTCGTGAAAGCAAGGTTGTAAAAAAAAAGAGGAACAGTATAACAGAGCCTTGGCGAAGGCGTTCCTAGCTTACTGTGCGTAAGCGGGACACTAGGGCTAGGTCTTACCTACGAGTGTAATGACGGCACATTCCCCATGGCTGCAGAGCAGTCATGCAATGTAACCACAAGTCGACACGTACAAACAAACGTTCCAAGCATGAAGACAGCAAGTGGGGTAACGCCTCGAGTAGTCTCCACCCCTGCGGAACGAGAAACACCTACCATGGAAACTACGGGTACTTAGACCGGATTAAGTTGGGTCTTGCAGGGTGCATTGGCACCGTGAGGGCCCCCGACAATTCTAGAGCGCTGAATCATCCAGCACCCCGCTTCTACCAACGAATTGCGTCTTCAGACACGACTAAGCCGTCCGACTACTTTGGAGCTCGAAGCACGGACTTGAAGCCGGTGCTTACAATAAAATGGCCCCGGTTTTCACAGTCCGCAATAATCAATCCGGATTATGAGATTGATCTTGTGAGATTGCCAGATTGAAGCTGTAATCAAATCAAGAAGCTAGTCTTCAGATTGGTAGCTCAATCAATCAATCCGTGACTTCCAGATTGCCAGATTGATGAGATTGTGCTGCTGCTGTAGGGGTGGAGGGTAAAGGATAGATAAAGGATGGAGTTTCTCGTGATCGCGCGTCGTGGCGCGTCGTTCCAAGTCGTATTAGCGGAGCTCCTCTCAACCCTCCATCCTCCGCCCATATTTTTCGTTCTCAACAACGCGTTGCAATGCCTCCCCGATCTCAAAAGAAGCGCAGCGGCGCACCTACAGTTGCTGCAGAAGCTGCTAAACGACTGCGCCCATCGCAGCGATCGCTGTCGCCCCGAGAAGCCCTGGCTAGCCAGGCCACCGAGTCGCCGTCTGAGCCAGCGTGGGAAACGCAATTTTTGGAGTCGCAATCTGAAGCTGAGATCGCCGCGCCCACCGAGGGCAGCCACGCTGGCACTGGATCAATAGCAGACGACGCTGGCGCTGGTCGGTCAACGTGGGAGACTGACGGTGCTGATCACTTTGATGGGACTGACTGGGATCGGCTGAAGCAAGCATGTCTGGTTATGAGGAGGCTTGAAACCTGCTCTTCTCCAACTCCGGGTACATTGGATAGCCGCTAACAGCTGAGATCCGATCTTCCGCCTGAGAGGCTCTAATAGGTCGCCAAGCTCACTAAACAGGCGCTCACATTGACAGCTGCTAGCTGTTATAGTGAGCAGATCGATGGCCAATCGCGATAGATTTGGATATCGCGATCGCAGGCTGATCCAATACTTGATTGGATTGCCCTCCTGCTCAAACTGCTCTTTTGTCCACGCTGGCTCATATCGCCGCCAGCGATTAAGCTCATCTATCTTTGATATATCCACCTCGTTTGCAGGCTCAACGTTGACGAGTGAAGCGATTGCGTCGTCGATACCGCCAGATCGCGGCAGCCTCGGGCGCGTGGTTGGCAGCAATATAGGCTTGTATCGTGCCCACAGTTGCTGCAACTGTGCCTCGTTTGAGACAATCAAGTGAGGCTTCTCGCGCCAGCTGTTTGAGCAGTAGTTCTTGTAGTATGGGTGGAGGCAAGTTGCGCATGGTAGGCGGGCGAGGCATCGAGTTTAGTATAGCAAGCGGTGGCCTTGCGCCAGGCAGCTTTGAGGTTGATCGCGAGGTGATGTTTTGGAGCCTCGGCATGAGCGTTGAAGTTGACGTGATCGTAGGTCCTGAGCATCGCCTCGTAAGCTCCAAGTATGTATTCGAACATTAGGATAACGTCATATATAGCTCTAAAGCTTCCTTGTTTACTGCGCGCCTCAAGGCCCTTTGTAGCCTTCTTGAGCGGCTTCAACACCTCGATATGCTCAGTTATCACCACCCAATCTGCTGCTTTGAGCCCGCCAGATTGCATCTAGGTGGGTGCGTCAGGTAGCTTGTTATCGCGCGACGGCGCGTATGCGTCGTCGCGCGCGGTGCGATCGATATGAGTGTTGGCGTATAGGTTAAAGGTTTTTGATAACTGGACTGCGCGCTCGAACGCGTCATGATAGCTGTTCCATCGCGTAAAAATAGGCTTGATCGGCTCTAGTATTGTTTCTGTGTGCGATCCATCGTTGACTGAGCGCTGAAGCGATGCGAACAGATTATGTTGCTGAGACGTTTTGATATAGTTGATGATATCGATCAGTACTCATAGCGGGCCGTCTCGTCGCCAGTCTCGCAGGTACCGCGCCTCTGTATCATGCTCGTTAACGCTATTGCTGTTATACGCCTCCTTATCAAGTCCAAACATGATTGTTTGGCCTACAAGGTTGAGCGTGTGAGGCGCGCAGCGGAGGCGGCGATAAGTAGCTTCGAAGTCGTATAACTCGCTGAGCTTGGCGACAGCTCGATCGATTGAGGATGCGTTGTCGAGGACGAAGTAGCCTAGCTTAGAACGATTAATACTCGCCACACCAAACCAACACCCGCGGCCGCAAAATCCTCCGGCCAAGAAAGTATTGGTGAGAAAGTTTGTCGCATAGGTCGACAGAGTACTCTGCTAAGTTGCCTTGTGATAACTACTTGTGTTTGTGTGTGGCTCTATAGCCTCAATTTTGTGTAGCCGGTTTTGGTGATGCGCGTGCATTGACTGACGGCGTGCATTGTGTCCACGGACACGGTACCCGTGAGGTACGTTATATATACATATGTGTATACAGCACAATAAGACAACTGCATCAAGCGCTCGTTTCGATAGAGAATACAACAAATACTCTGCTACAGTACGTAGCCTCTTGCACTAAAGTCGTCACACTAGTTGTTTCTCTACAACACATCTCTCGTAACTGCAACATTCGTCGTCACTATCACATTGTCTTTTCCATCTTGCGTTTTCGTCTCATCAGTAGTTCCAGTGGGGGTTAGACTAGCCTCTCGGTCAAGGAAGGTCAACTCCATCTCCTCCTCATCTACAGTGCCACCTTGGATGCGTGCCGTGTAGGTGCCACCTCTGCTACTGCTAACCGGTTTTCCGGATCCGGGTTGTAAGTACCCGGTGTTGCTGCGATTCGCCGTATGCATAGGCGTTGTCCGGACGATGAGGGGTTTGAGTGATGGGAGCGAGACGACAACAACTGCTGTGCACATTTCGGCTGTGCACCATGCATCTGTAGTTGTGTTAGTACTAGATAAGAACGATACGAGGACTGAGGTGGGTAGGTGAAAACATAGGAAAGTGGAAGCTAGTAGACTTACTACCGATAGCATCGGAAACGTTGTAATCTACGCTGTATACGATGAACCGAGCAAGGCTGATAGCCATAGTAATGGCACCTAGAGAGAATACTCCAACCAAGCCAATCTTCTGCCGTCTACGGAGCTTCAGGCAGTTGATGATGGAGAAAGGGAGACAGAAGACTAGACAAAACACTTTGTTAGTCCGAATGTTACGAAACGAATGAATAAAGCACTTACGCATCAAATCGGTACCGATATTCAATGCCCAGTTGATTGTCAGATCTGTGTAAGAGTTCCATGTTGAATTGAGCTGGTTTTCGATCGACCTAATGACCAGCGCGTGTCAGCGGATGGCATTGTTGAGTGTTGGAAGTTCAAGTTGCGCCATACCAGTTGTCCGAGATCGAAGGTGCGATGAACGTATCTGCCAACAGACTTGCGATCCAAGCGCAGCCTATGATAGCAGCAGTAACGTACACTGATATCCGGAGATGTTTGAATCCCCGAGGAATCAACCACCAGTAGAAAGCCACGAGAGACGCTTTAGGGAAGTACAGTCCAGTGTCAAAGAAGTAGCAAGACACGAAGACTGTCTGGGATAAGGTGTCAGTTAGCTAGTACTCCTGGAGGGAGTCCTAGTCTTAGGTGGTGCAGTTCACTCACCTTCAAGTAATCGACGGAATCCGTTATAGCCTCTTCGTTCAATGGGTGATCGACCAGAATGTAGAGCGCTTGGGTGGAGCAAGCAAACCACCCCAGTGCGCAAATCCATCCTCCCCAAACGAGGTAATCGGCAATCGTTAACCGTCTTTGCTCTACATGAAGGCGGATCCAGCATCGCAAGATCGTAACGGCTAGTGCAAGACCGACCAAGAGCGCCTGGACGACCTGTGTTGTATGTTAGCGAGGGCTTGAAGTGTTTGCTTTTTCGAAGCACTCACAACCGACGCTACTGTCTGCATTGCGTTGGGCAGCTATGCATACCGTATCCGGTGGAGGTTCAAGACGGGCTTCTTTCCGATAGATTGGGTCAAATGGTTTATGAAAGGGACAGTGGCGAGTGTAAGCTTTTTTCTCAACACTGACACCTGCATATACTGGAAATAGCCCTGACATAGACTAGAATAGTTTGACATGAGAGACTAGACGCGTGCATCCGAGGCAGTGGTATGGTTGGGTGTGCTATGTCCCGCATTGGTGCCATGATTCGCATAGTTCCAGGCGGCAGGTAGCGTGTACCCCGTGCTGATCAGTCGATGACCAACGGCGTGTCACATGTGGTTGCCATCCAGATAACAAGTCATTATGAATCAGGCGAGAAGGTTTTCTCTAATATGCTTGTGATATGCCGATTGTTCTGTGTTAGTACTGTACACGTGATAATGAGTCTCTTCGCAAGAAGCAGAAGAGCGCGGCAACTGCGAGCTATCAATGCGTTATTCCGTAACCTGTAATATACTTTCTCGGTGATGCCGGCATGCTTTAGATGCGTATGTAATTCTGGAAACGGAGGTTTCCATGCGGGACGGGTAGCGATACATAAAGTAGGGTGAGAACTCGATTCCTGTTTTCCTCACATGGCATCGCGCGAGTATCAAGGAAGGCGGGTGAAAAAATCCTGGAATTCTCCTATGGCGTTTATCCACTGCTGACGGTTTCAACGGTAGCGAGA